ATTGTCCAACTCTCTGATGCATAACAAGTGATTGCAAATACCATGGCCTGTATCAGGCGCACCTTAGTCTCCAGAGAGACACTGTTGCTCCTGAGTACTCTAGAGAGGTCCCTAACAGCAGATTTTCCCATCACGATACGCTTTTTTATTTCCTGACTGCTGGTGCCAAGAGTGTTGGCTGTGGAGCCAAGCAAACTGAAGCTGTGATAATCTCCATAAGTACATATATTATTGAGTAGCAATGATGTTACTTTGAGGATTATGGTCTGCCTTATTCAGACCATGGTCTTTCCAATCACTTGCTATGCTGCTGAGAGGTGAAAAATGAATAAGGATGACAGAAGAATTGATCCCTTTGAACTGTGGTGTTGGAAAGGAGTACTGAATATCTCACAGACTGCCAAAAGAACAAATAGACATGTCTTGGAGAAGGTGCAGACAGAGAGCTTCTTGGAGACCAAGATGATAAAGCTTCATTATATACACTTTGGGCATGTTGCTAGGAGAGGTTAGTTCCTAGAGTGAGACATCACGTTTGGGAAGGTGGAGGGACAGTGAGAGAGAGGAAGACCTTCAACTACACGGACTGACACAGTGACTGCAGCAATGGGCTTCAGTGGGTCAGAGATTGTGAGGATGGCACAGGGCAGGTTTAGATCTATTGAATACTCAACTCAAAGGCATTCAACAACAGATTTATATAGATTGATAGATATAGTTGTTGTTGTTGTTGTTGTTGTTATGTGCTGTCCAGTCGCTTGCGACTCATAGCAACCTTATGTACAACAGCCCTAAACTCTGCTCTGTCCTGTGCCAATCGCACTGTCTCTGATACACCCATCCTGATTACCCCAGTCACTGAATCAATCCACCTCATAGAGGGTTCCCCTCCTGTGCTATCCCTCCACCCTCCCAAGCCTGATGTCCCTCTCCAAGGACCGGTCCCTCCTTACAACATGCCCAAAGTACGTCAGAAAAAGCCTCAGAATCCTTGCCTCCAAAGAGCAGCCCAGTTTAACCCTTTCAAGGATGAATCTGTTTTCCTAGCAGTCCATGGTACCCTCAATACTCTTCTCCAGCACTACAGCTCAAAGGCATCAATTCTCCTTCTATCCTGCCTAGTCATTGTCCAGCTCTCTGATGCATAACAAGTGATTGCAAAGACCATGGTCTGTACAGACACACTTTAGTCTCCACAGAGACACCATTGCTCTCCAGTACTTTGGAGAGGTCCCTAACAGCAGACTTTCCTATCACAATACATCTCTTTATATATTAATTTTCACATATTAACATTTATATAGTTAATTGCACTGGAGCACAGAGAAGCCAAAGCACAGGGAAGAATTGAAGATACTAAAGAGTTGAATAGAAGATGTCAAAAGGCAGCACGGGATGACAAAGCAAAATATTACAATGAAATGTGCAAGGAGTTGGAGTCAGAAAATCAAAAGGGCC